AAAAAAAAAAAAAAAAAAAAAAAGTATCTCTGAAGTCCTCCCCCAGAAATTCGATTTGCCAGAGAGACTGATTTAGTTTCAGGATAATGAAGCTCCCTGTGATTCTTTTCCTTCTTTCTTTCCTTCTTTCTTTCTTTCTTTTTTAAAAGTTTCTGTTTTTGTTCATTATAGAGTATGTATCAGTGTGTACTCTCTTCAGGGTCTGGTCAAACCATGACCCTCTTCCTCTTCCTACTGTTCTCAGCATTGGATCGCAGGCATTCGTGTGCATGCCTGGTACATTTCAGGCTGACTGGCCCAGGAATTCAAACCACAGTGGCCATGTGGAGTCTGGCTTCTCACACAGCATGTAACCACTCTGCCATGAAGACTCCCCAAAGTTCCTAATAATTCTGATATACCCTTGGATCAACAGATCTTGGGAACTTAAGGCCCAGATTTGGGTGTGAGACAAAGAGGGTCTGGAATTAGCTACACCTATGAACAAGTTCTTTGAAATAACTGACATTCTAAAGGGGAGGGAACCAGCAGTTAGCGTAATGGCTATGTCGCTGGACTCCCACGTAGCCGACCGCGGTCCGCGTCCCGGACCCGGTGGCCCAAAACCCACGCCGGGCGCATGTGCGTGCGTGTTGGGGAGTGATTTCTCACTTTCTCTATCTCTCTCCTGCAAGCTCACATATACCATAGGAAAACTTAGAAAAGAAAAAAAAGCTAGTATTATGGGGTTTTTTAACCTTCATTAAAATATCTTGACTTAGTCTAAATGGTTATAAGATAGGTCTTCATTGTTTACTTACAGAACAAACACCAAACTCAAATATAGAATTCAAGTCCTTTAGAGGCGTTTGGCCATGTGGGAGTACAGTGCCCTTAACCACCATGCTACCTGCTGGCCCCAATTCTTGATACTTTTTCTACAAAATACTTCATATGTTTTCTGTCAACTCGTATGGTAGTTATCTATTGATATCTCCAGGTTTTCTTAAGCTCCTTTTGGGGAGATCTCTTCTTTTTCTTCTGAGGACAAGTTTCACATTTTTATTTACATTTTAAGACTAATTTTAATCTCAGAATCACATATCCATACACCTATTTCCTTTTTATTGACTTCATTTCAACTTAAATGCATGGTTTGTGAAAACTATAAACAAATATTTACCATGTCTATTACATGTAACACACAGGAATAGCTTTTAATAGAAATTTATCGATACACACATTTTTTTATTATAAATACAGATATCAAAACAACATATTTTTGATACTGAACATATTTTTGATACTGCGAGTAGTCAACACTCATACAGCTTCAAAACAACACAATTTGTCACAATATTCATTATACCTGCTACCTTAAACAATTTCAACTTCAGCTCTTTCACTGTGCAAGATGATTAAAGCATGCTATTTCTGTTTTTCCTTCTTGAGTTTGTTTTTACTTTTCAGAAACACATATACCACTGCCATCCGACACTTCTTGCCATGCTTTCATCTTGAAAATTCAGATTCTGTTTCAAGTACTCCAGGCTTAGGTTTAAATAACAGACCTTAACAAGAGAAAAAGAATTGTGCTGCATTTTTCTCTTGTTACTTGAAAACATAATGGGTGTACATATATTAAATATATTCTTACAAACATCCAGTCATGTTTACCAGCTGAAATTTTTTTTTTTTTTTGGAGAGGTTTTTGCTATAGGGCGCGTGCACTCGCCAGATAGACAGAGAGAGACATAGAGCTAGAAAGCAAGAAATCACCCCCCCCAGAGGGGATGGTCACGCCACAATCCCTTCTCCTCTCGGGATCTTGGGCACGCACGCACATGCACCCGGCGTGAGTTTTAAGCCACCAGGTCCGGGACTCAAACCATGGTCGACTATGTGGGAGTCCAGCAACATAGCCATTACACTCACTGCTGGTTCCCACCAGCTGAAATTCTTTTACTTAATGTATGGGTATTTGTATTGTGATATTTAATCAAGGCATTTATATGCATAGAAGTTTGTTGATTTAAGAATAATTTTATTCTTTTTTTTTTTTTGGAGAGGGTTTTTTTTTGTTTGTTTGTTTGTTTGTTTGTTTCGCTATAGGACACGTGCGCTCGCCAGACAGACAGAGAGAGACAGAGATAGAAAGCGAGAAATCACCCCCCAGGGGGGATGGTCAATATTTGGCCAGAGAGAGAGAGAAGGAAAGTGAGAAACAGGCCGCCAGGTCTGGGACTTGAACCGTTATCAGCCAGCACCTCAACCACCACAGCACCTGTTGGCCCCACTTCATATTTTCTTTGGATGTCATTCAGCATTGTAGTTCTTAAAGGATGGTTTTTTGCTATAGATATGCGTGTGCTTGCAAAAGAAACAGAGAGAGAGAAAGTGAGGGGAAAAAAAACACAGTAGGCCATTTCGGAGTTCAGCACTTCAACCACCACGCTGCCTGCTGGCCCGTAACCTAATTATTATTGAGAACCCATTATGTTCCAGGCATTATGGTGGATTTTGGGTAAACAGTATGTTGTGCCCTTACCAGCGTAATAATTTTATGAATGAGATATATGCAAGTAAACCAGCCAGTACTGTAAGTTAGTAAGTGTGAGTATTGAGATTGTCTTTCAATATACAGCAACACATAAAAGGGATACCTGACCCAGTCTGAAAACGTCTACAAGGCTTTCTAAAAGTAACAGCTAAACTCTTAAGGATGAGAAAGGAAGAAGGGTTGAGAAGAGTGCTTACAGCAGAGGGAGCAGCATGTCTAGAATGTCTAGAGTTCAGAGAGGTCATAGTGTTTCCAGGGAACTCTTAATAGATTCAGTGGTTTGGGAGTAGTGAGTGGAAAGAGGAGCCAGCATGCACGCACACGGGCCAGCGTGAGTTTAAACCACCACGTC